AATAATTTTTCAAGGTCTTATAAAACACCTTGATAATTATATAGAAAATAATAATGTAAATACCTATTGTGAAGCAGCTCAGGGGATGAAAAATAAGCTAACACATTATTGGATCTACCTTTCACAATCATCAACCATTCCCTCTATTCTTGATCTCTCGACTAAGCTTGAAACTTTTAAAAACGAGAACCATCAGTTAGTTATTGATCTTTTGAAAGTTTCTTATTCCACCTATCATCTACATGAAAAAACAACAGAACCCAAACATGATTCTTTGGAATATTTTCGAACCTTAGTAAATTCAAATAAAAATAAAGAAACTACTGGTGCAACTAATGAATTAGAGGTCTATCTTTCATTACCTTCAGAACATGGTATTAATCCCCTGTACTGGTGGAAAACAAATGAACGTCAATTTCCAACTGTAGCTTTGATGGTAGCAGATTATTTTGCTCTACAGGCCACAAGCATTCCTTGTGAACGTGCCTTTTCTATAGCCAAGAATACTATTAATTCTTCAAGGGCTAACCTTTATGAAGAATCAACTAGAGCTTCTCTGTGTTTAAAAAGTTGGCTCAGGGCAGAAATTCTGGAATAAATTAAACGTACGTTGTGAAGAGCTCTGATGCTCAGTCCTACTTTTTCTTTTTATTATATTGTGATTTTTTTTTTTATTATTTTTATTCAATACGTTAGTTGGAACCCAAAAATAGATAATAGTTAATATAGTTAATATGTCAAACATAGTATATAGTTAATAAATATATTAACTACGTATTTCAAATACACAAAATGCACATAATAAGTATGCAAAGCTATAAAAGACTCATCTTATATAAAACATATTTTCTTGCTTTTATTACCCGTTATCGTTAGTAAAAAAACAAAAAAAAGATCATATTAGTAATCAAATCCCTTATATAGGGAAACATTAAACCCAGATACCGGTTAGGGTTATTTTTTTGATGCAGTTAGGGTTAGCGGATTATATAGATATCAAGAATACAATTTATGCAGTATGTTAGATCATTATATGAATGTACAGTATCTACCTGACCTATTAAAACAGCATGATCTACAAATAGTAATATATATATGTATAATTTTTATTTTGTGAATAAAAATAGAAGACATTTTTGATTATAATAAAATTTAATAATTAGTCTAGTAATTATAAGATATTATATTTATAATTATATAAATTTTATTTTTTTAGAGAAAAAACTTTCACGCACTTAGGTTAATTCACTATAGTAATTATATATTAATTACATTTAAAAAAATAGCAAAAAAAGTAAAAAAACAAAGCAAATAAAAAAACAGAAGCAAAAAGCAAAATATAAGAAAAACCTATTTAATAGCTTCAGGACCTCTTTGAGCTGTAAAGTTGTAGCGACTTAAATCAATTGATGATGCAACATTTCAACCACTAAGAGTTAAAACATTCAAATTGACGGTGTACAAGTCATTATTTAAGTTAAAAAATATTGCTTGAGCATCTTTAGGTTGAAAAAAATTTATTGCCCATAGTCCAGCACGAACCACATCAGAAAGTAACTTTTCAAAATTATTGGTGATGGTAGATTCTTCACGAATAGCAGGAATATTAATGTTAACAAGAAACTGCTGCCACACTTTTTGAACATCCCTTGCTGTCATTGCAGCAAAAATCTTATTAATCTCATTACTAGATAATAAAAAAGCACAATATAAAATAAAATAAAATTAAAATAATATATATAATAATAATTAATAATTATTTTACCTTTTTGCTCTTCTCTGCAAATCCTCAAACAATTTGTTAATCCTTGTCCAAAGAACATGCCGCCATTCAATAAAGGTGGAACGAAATTTTGATGCTGCATCATCAAAATTTCGGTCACCTATTTCTGGAACCAAGATTTTTAGAAACTTTTTAATTACTGCATTAGATTTGGAGTCATCAAGGTTTCTGCATCGGATAAATAATGCATGCAATTCACCCCTGAAGAGATCATTGATCCATTTTGAGAACTCCTTATTAATAGAAAGTATCAGTATAATTACATTTATTAATCATTTATTAAATTAAAAAGACATGTATAATAGTTTATAGATAATCAACTCAACCAGGTTGGTTTTCAAAAATAGGTTATATGGTAGTGCCACCTGCCGTAGTTGTAGTAAATAAATCAGTACTGGATTAAAGTACTATTGGTATAAAAATTTTGACTCTGCCTGTATTGCCAGTATTGCGTATTTGCATATCATATTTAACATAGGTGGTGCCACCGAGTGATCCATATTTTTGAAGGCCTTCCTGGTAGAGTTTAGAAAACCAGAGTTAAAAGAATTTGTTTAATTGTCATGAATCATAGTGAAGAAGATGTATCTGAAATTATTTCAATATACTATGCATGACAACTAAAACCTTCCTTTTAATCCTAATTAGTGATTTGCACCCATACTCTAAAATTTTTGTCACCAATTAAATGCAGAAAGAACTAAAAAAAAACGAAAATGCACACAAAGCTACAAATTAAACAAAACTTTATTACATTATTAATAGCATAATACTCGCATAGTTGTTTGGAAGACATATTTCTTCCTTTCTTTATAAACGATGCTGGTACGTTATGAGCACGGCGTGGAACTGACGGAAAGTTTCCATCCTTATAATAATTTGGGGGAAGGTTCAGTCCGTCTTTAAGGATCTCAGCTTCATAAGTATCTCTTGCTTCAACTGGATGTGGTGGTGAATAAGACCAATCCTCTATTTCTTCAAAATAAAAATTTTCTGGAAGAGTCGGGGTTGATGATCGTGATCGTCTAGAAGTATTCGGAAAAAGCACTGCCATCATGGCATCAACACTATCATTAACCAAATCATTGGTCAAAAGACCAAATCGGCTTCGAAGAGTTGTGAGGGTTGTGGTACGATCTCTATGAAGGTGCGATTCCAAAAAATTTAAAACTGTAGTAAGATCTTAAATAAACAGAAAGAGTTAATCAAAGATAAATTTATTAAGATAATATCAATAATTTGAAGTCTAGATTCTATAATTTTAGAATTATATAGTGACTATATTGTAACGATATCATTACTATATAGTCACTATATAATTACTAAAAAGTATGGAATCTAGATTTCTATATAATTAATTTTTTTTTATAAAATAAAAACCAGGAAGAACTGTTGGACTTGGAATAGTCTGAATTGTATATGATACTGGCTCAGGAGTTGGTTGATTTTGTGGAGTTACTGGTCGAGATTGGGATTGTAAGTCAGGTTGGATAGGTTGGATAGGTTGTGATTTGGATCTAGCAAATGAACGTTGTTGGATGGGTTGGGAAGAGGATGAGGATGTGGATGATTCACTCTGAATAATTTTTCGCTTTTTTTGAGACATATTATAGAAAAAATAAGAAAAAACTTCTGTTTTTATAAAAAATAATTTTTTAAAATTTTGTTATTAACAGAAAATAATATAATAAAGTTTGAAATTTATTATGTCACGGCGAGGAGTTTATAAAATTAAGAAATTCATCATAAAGAAAGTAGTATAATGAGCTAGTTATAAATTAGTCTAGATTTATAAATTTCTTTTTAAAAAATATATCAAAATTTGTATGACCTACGCTTTATTAAAAATCGGTTCTCTTTTATAGTAAGTCTTATTAGAAGTGATAGATTATTTTATTATGATGGCAATTTGACTATTTAATTGTCACTAACTCTTAAAACATCATAATAAAATACTATATCATAGTGGTAAGAAGACCTGGCAATTTGACTATTGAATAATTACTAAATCAAATAGCAAATATAATAAACTTGCGATGATATCTTAGACAAAATTGCGATAATTTGATACTAAATCAACTTCAAACCAAATAACTATACTATAAGATCAAATAACATTACACTATTTAGTACAAAAATCGTTACAATACCTTGCAAAATCAGTACTAGATTTTTATAATGAAACAATTACAAATTAAAAATTTTATAACTAGAAATTACATAAAATATTTTTTGAATTATTACTATAACGTGATGGCATCGTCAAGATAATGTAACAGTTTTATTAAAAATATGGAAGTTTTAGCAAAGAAAAATTGTAAGAGGCTCTGAATAAATCCAAATATTACTAAT